AATATATGCCTGGACCACAAAAGCCCAGCCAAGCAGAAAAAACCTCCTTATTACTTAGTACTGCATCTGATATGTTCTAACAGAGCAGAGTAACACTTCTACTTTTGTCCCTAATATATTTTATTTCAGCAAATATTTTGGCAAACGTTTCAACAGCTGATGCTTGATCAACCAAGAGAGACCTTTATGTCAGTTCACCAGCAGGTTCTTAAAATAATAATTCTTAAGGTTCATTTCTCTGATCTAGTCATGTTTTTTAACAGCAGCATCTTATTCAAGCAAAGTTTGAGTATTTGCAACTTTCTGTTTGGCATTCTGCCCCTTCTTTGCAGTAATCTGCTTGATTTAAATCAATTCCTTACAGTCTCTATAATGTTTTATTTCCTTTTACCTTTTTTTTCTCTCTTTTTTTTTTTTTTTGTATTCCCTTTGGTTTTGTTTTTGCTCCTTTTTTTCCATTTCAGTTCTGCGTCTCCTTCGAAATGGCTTTTCTCCCTTTCACATCCCTTCACGCATTGTTGCTGTTCAGAACAGATAAGGACCTTGTGACAGAGCTCCTTTGGTTGTTTTTTTGGCAGAAAGGTGCAAAAGACAACCTATTTCATCAAAGGACATCCCAGTCGGTTACACTCCTTAGATTTTCAAAGCAAACTCATATATTCAGACTTCGTCATAAACAGCTCAAATTAAATTCAAGGTCAGAAAGACTGCAGCTGACAGAGCTCACTTCTCCCATTATTTACCCTTTTTAATATGTATTTTTTCCACATGGCTATAATGAAATGGTTACACTCTCACCACTGCTAATGTTACTGGACCCTAGAAAATGGATTTTCATTATGGGAATTAATTTATTATTAATTATTAAGCCAATAACTGTTAACAATAATTGTTAATTGTTACTTTAGTATTGGGGGAAAAAAAAGCCAAGGTAAAAGGATTGAACAGGTTGTGTTTGATCCTAAAAGGCAGTGTGCTATGAGGTGATATTCTGGCATTTTGTACTATATTCAGTGTGGAGTCAAATCTGTTAAAGCCTTTTACTATAGAAGAGATCTCCAAAAAAATTTCCCCAAAGCTGTAGCTGAAAGCACAGGACAGCAGCAGCCTGTTCACTCTGAAGAATACCGACTGCGATTCAGACAGTGTGAGAGTCTTGCAGAACTTACACGTAGTTATGCTCTGTAAAAGCTGACTGTAGGGAGACCTTGTTGGTATCTGGCATTGAGATGTGCTTGTCATTTGGCAGCTTTGAAAATAAGCTCTAGTCTACAACTGCAGTTACACACAGAATTATTTTACAGATTGTGTCACTCTGCAAAGCTTATATGCACACAGTGCTGGAAGTAAAAATTAAAAGATTGTGTTTTGAAAATTAATCTCTGTATTCCATCTTAGGTAAACTCTAAGTGAACTGACGCTGGGGTTTGAAAACATATTTTGAATTTCTGATAGTATCTTTCTTCAAAGCAATTTATAAACTATTCTGTTTATAAAGATGACAAACTGTTGAGATCCAGTCAGCTCCGAGGTAGAAAAAAGTAATCACCTACCAGGGAGTAACTGGTGGTTCCATTGTGCATGTAGAAGGAATTTTATCTCAATCAGCAGGGGCAAACCGGCTTCCTGCTATGAAAAAAAAAAAAAGACACAAGTTAGTTGGTGTCTTAAAGATACTTTTCAGCAAGCTCAGTAAACTTTCATGATGAGTTTTACTGGTTTTCTTCCAAACCAGCAGGTGCCGGCATAATGCATACAGAGATTTACTTTATCATAACTTTTTAAACAGCAAGATGGCAAAAGTAAATCACCAGTGGATCTTGGTGCATAAAACCACAGCTGAGTAATCACGTTGCCTCTTCCAGCCAAAACCAACAGCCCCACTTCTTATCCCGATTACATCATGTCCAGTAATATTTCCAAAGTCTGTAAGAAAGCCCAAAATAAGCAACTGGATTTGGGTATTTTTGTAGTGCACTTGGATAAACACGTGCATTTACTACGAGAGAGGACTCTTGGGTTGAACCACGGGGTAAGCTTCTGTAGGTATTTTATTGGAAGTATGTGTTTTACCTCAGAGTTTCTTGATTATAGCAACACTACTTTCCTTTCTTCATTGCTTCTTGAAAGATATTTCTTCCTATTTCAAATCCTGCAGGTTTCAACACACTTCAGCATCTTCTTCTGTGACTTTTGCTACTGAACTTTATGCCAGTTTTTCTTGTTTGCTCGTCTCCGTCATATACATTTCAAATTACAAGGAAATATAATGGAAAATAATACACTGCTACCCCTTGTTGTACGTTTGGAAAAGTATACTAAACCTCCTTTCGATTGCATTTTATATGGTTACTTTTGTCCTGTATTTGATTGGAAAGTATTGATATCCTTTGTTCTTAGTGATCTTCCTAGCCCCTTGCAAGAGAATCCAGAGCTTATGCAATTTATTATTGTTGTGATGCCATCGGGGTTTTTAATTAATAGTTATTATAGTCTAAGGATATAAAAGGAGCAAGATTTACAGGAAAAGGTAGTAACATTTACAGGATTGATTCAGACTGAAAAATGGAAAAGCTTTCAAGGGCCTTTCTTCACAAATATTTCCTCTCATGTTACTTCTTAAATTAATATGAAACAAAGAAGGCAGCGAGGTATTGTAAACCTACAGGATGGGTCTAACCTTGAGTCTCAAGCTCAGGACAGTATTTAGCAAGCCTTTGTGACTCCTGTCTACAGCTGACAAAATACTCAGCAAATTCTTTAGCAATACATTCCAAGGTTATCACAGTGCAGTGTCAAATGGCATTCCGAGCTGGATGTCGCCGAGTTACTGGGGTTTAGGGAGAAGAGTATCACCTGGTTCCTTTAAAACACAGGATCTTTGACCTTCAGGTTTACTGAACCCTAAATGTCAGCCTGTTAAAACACTTTCATGACTGTGGTGATGGGCGGAAGGCAGAGTCAGCAGCATTGCAGAGCTTCTCCAACTCAGCCAAACATCAGTTTTCAGGTGAGACTGAACTCACCCTTCCTGCTCTCTCTGACCCTATCCTCCATCTTCCTTATCGCTACAAATTATCTGCAAACATTCATTAAGCCTTTCCAGGGACAGTGCAATATAGTAATATAAAAAAAAAAAATGACAGAGTGAGAAGTGATGTCTAGGGAATATTTAGGGACAGTTCACAAGGACACAGTGTTCTTATGCAGATTGAAAGTGAAGTCAGCACGGTCAACACATCTGTTCTTGCCAAAAGTAACACGGGATATGGAGTTAAAACAGTGGGTTTCTGTTTCATCTGCAAAACTGGCCATCCTTCCCAAAATTCTTCCGAAAACTATAGCAGAATATCAACACAACGCCGACACTTAACAAACAAAAGAGAACGGTTAAATCTGTGATTTAGGCACACAAAACCTGTGAAGCCTGAGTGTACCCCAAAACAATAGAAGTGACCGACTACAGAAGGAAAGAAAATCTTCTAAGACCTATGTTTGAGAAACTTCCACCAACAGGTACTTTGAGTTGTCAAAAGTGTTTAAAACGGTACCACGAGTAGTTTTGAAAACTCCAGTTAAGAAATTAAAATCGGAGAGTGACGCTTTTTCCACAGGGTTTTCCCACGGGAACCTGGAGGCACAGTTGTGCAGTAGCATCCTTAGGCTCAGTTTTACAGATCTGGGCGTCTGGTTTACACGCTCAGCTGCCTCCTTCCGTGGTGTGCAGGGAAAGCTGGGCACTGCTGCTAGAAAATACGGGGGAACTGGGCTAAATATTTCTTAAATGCCTTAATACACTGCAGCAAAGCACCTGTGAGTGGCTGGGCTTTGGCTTTAAGAGATTAAAACCTGATTTTTTTTTTTAATTTTTTTTTTTTTTTTTTAAACAGAAGCAAAGCAGTTTGGAGAGGAGGAGAGCTTTGGCTATTGGCTTCCAAACACGAGTGGCTGAGGAGGCGGCCTTGGAGCGGCTGCAGATCTGCTGGCACCTGCTGGCACACACCGCGCCTTCCCGCGGCTCTTCGCCCCGCCCCGCGCAAGCCCCGCCGCCGGCAGACCGCGGCAGGTAACTCCACCATCTCTTTTTCGGGTTGGTTTTGCTCTCCCCTCACCCTCTTTCCACCGTCAGGACTTCCATCGGCTCGCAGTTTCATCGCACTAACCCCATTAATCACTTCCCTTTCTGCTGTAGCTGAGAAGTCTTTTTTCTTTTTTTATTTATTTTTTCTTTTAATTCTTTTTTCTTTTATCTTGTTTTATTTTTTATTTCTTTTATTTCTTTTGTTTCTTTTGTTTTATTTCTTTTGTTTTATTTTCTTTTGTTTTCTT